ATATGCTGAACACAATGATATCGTCCATGTACGCAATTTTCTCCTTCGAGGCTTTTCGAAACGTTATCCATTACCCTTTACTGGAACGTAGCTGGAGCGTTTTTAAGGCCAAACGGCATCCGGACATACTCATAATGGCTATTTTCGACATTGAAAGCAGTTTTGCATACTTATATCTTCTTTAGCCATTTCGATTTGGTGAAAACCACTTGCCAGATCCAAGGTCATGAAGTACTGGCATCTATCAAGTTTGTCCAAGATGTCTGTTTGGAATTGGGTATTTATCAGCGATAGTTCTATCTGCCATTTTATTTTTCCGTCGCGTTGAGGACACCCTCTGACCGTGGTATTCTCCGTTTACTTCAGCCGTAACGTAACGATGTTTTAAGATCGACTCTATCCATGCATGCTGTGGGAGCGATCTCTTTGCACTCGATTGTCCTCTCATCTCTTTAATCAGGCAGTGTAAAGCACTTGTTGTGGATCTGCCTGGCTGATAGGCAAATTGCTTTGAGTAGATCGGTCTTCTCAATAGAGTTTCGCTTTTGATGTGATGTTCAATTGCTTTCTCCATTGTTTTGAGGAGACAGTATGATTTTGCTTCGTCCTCATGTTGACGACCAGTTTTTGGTATAAATATAACATTAGCTTCCCTCCAAGATAGCGGTATGTGTCCTAGGATCAGGCTTGCTTTGAAATTTTTTTGTAAGTGTACCTTTTCCGGTCTTTGCTTGGAGATTTGTAGGGTCTGAAGTCGTCCATTTTATTCTGTTCATTGTGAAGATTTCCCTGCCAGTCTTCTGCTTCTCCTGTTAGGGCTTCGAGACCCTTCGATAGGCGGAGTGACCTGGTTCAAGGCTTCTACCGACTCCGGAAAGTGAGTTTTGTAGCAGTACCTCTAGACTTTCTATATGGTTGATACAGTGTTCTCCGTTTGGTTTATTCAGCAAATCAATTCCGTTTGAGTGGTTTTTTAAAAGGACTTTTTGGAGATATCCCCTCGCAGAATTGTCTCCATGATTTTCTTTTTGATTTTCTCAATTCATTGCATTGAAAATACAATAATGTCTTATATTTATCTTGTTAGAATCTTATTGTCGTTACTATTATTGAAGAAATTCTAACGTTCATAATTCTTAAACTGCGGTTGATTTTACACAATTTTTTTCATTTTGATCCTATATTTGTAATTTAATTTATTCATCTATTAAAAAAAATGCTATACTGACATCTATAAAATCATGTACCGTTAAAATCAATTAATTTACTAGGTCGTAAACCTTGGTCTTCGGCGAATGATGCTACATTTTTTTTAAATCGACTGGCAGTTCAGTACCACAATCCTCTAGATGTCACGGTTATTATGAAATCGATTCGTGATTTTTAATTTATTGAAGATATTCCTATAAGTAGCCGCGCACAGATTCTTTCAACCGTTTATCAAGTACCGGAAACAATAGTCATTGTTGTCGGCCGTACACACTTGACATCTTCCAGGCCGTAATAAGCGATAATTTGTTTAATAGAGAGTACCTTCTTGGTAAATAAAATGCCATTGTGTACCCTGACTATGTATATTCATGGTGCGGAATTGTTACTGACAATGCACGCCTCCGGTCTCAATAATCTGAGAGGAATTTAGTAGGAGTTATGGAGAGTACTTCAGTAAATTGTATTTGTTCAATTGATTATAATGAGAAATCTTTTTTTTTTGAGAATATTTCATATGAATTCTTAATTTTTTTGTCCTTATTTATACAATGTTCAACAGATTGAGAGACTTCTTGTTTATTAATTAGGTACCTATTGCAAACTGTAAGATACTCATAAGAAGTACACTATGACCCTTTGTCTGTATTCAAACATTCATTCAACATTTCATAGTCTCTGAACTAACTCATACACAACTTCTTCGAAAAGCTTTCAAATGTCATATAGTTGCATCTCCTCTATCAAGAAAATCTACTTCAATCAGCCCATGTAGGTAGGATACTATTTGCAAATTGAATAAATTTAACTAAAATGGGATGCGCTGTTTTTGTTAGATATTCTTTGAAAGTTGACAAACATGTAAAGCTGCATGGTATTCTCACAGAATACCAAACCGATAACATCAAAAAAAAGAGTATCCGTCTGATAAATATCTCCGATGGTGGCCAAACACTACAGCTAGATGGGAAAAATAAACGATTCAGCTTTTAATCGCAGAAATAAGCATATTTATAGTCTACCCGAGACGAGACAAAATGGAGAAAAACGGCGAGTCCGATGCAGAGAAACGGGTTGGTAGAAAAATAAAAACTCGAATAGATTATGTGTGTGAATGTGTCTGGAGCCTAACAAGGGGTTCACAAACTCACGCATCGGGATGATGAACCCTATTTAACCGGTTCGGCAAAAAAGAAGATCAATAAAGAAAGAAGACTTGGCGAGCGAAAAAAAAAAGACCCAAGAAGGCTCTCGTGCTTTAGAATGACTTGACCATTGTAAATCTTTCAAGTTAGAAGAAGTTAAAAATAGAATACTGGGAAAGTGCGCGTCTGCTTTTGCTTCTTCGTTTACAGATAATCTTGCTTTATAAGGAAACATTCTGTTTTAATTATCTTGTTGGAAGCTTTAGAACGCAATTTCTGATCCGATAATTTTAGCAGCAAATCTTAGTATGAAAACAATGGTTGACAGCCGTTAACAGTGGTTTGTTGACAAACGGAAACTGGAAACTATTATTTCCTCGGTTTTTCAACGTTTTTTCCTAACAATGGTTATTGTGTGTTGTGTGCCTTTTCGTAAAAATAATCCCTATTCACCGGCGGGCGTGTCTTTTCATAAGTTTCCATCAAATCTACTGCATCAAATTCAAATCAATGACATTGACAAGCAAGCCAATTATGGCGGGAAAATATATGTTTTCATACCATCGTCCATCTCTTTTAATTGAAAACGTTAATTTTAAAGAACACCAAACTAACCAATGTTAAACCAAAAAAGGTTATAACCCCCAATGTTTCCATAGTTTTTCTAGAAATTAAACTTACTACCACAATGGATTTATTTCCATCTGCTCTCTAATAAAATGCATATAAGTTTAATGCCTCTCGATTAACATAATAAACCCATATCCAAGTGCAAATCAATTGGCAACATTGTAACAAATTACACCACACTCAATTATTTATACAACTTTCGCCGGTACCGGTATTTACTTATAAAAAAAAAGAAAACAAAGTGAACTTGAAATAAAAATTCACCGTTATGTCATTGCATTTACAACCTGATTTCCATTGTTTACTAATACTATTATTATTATTATTATTATTATTTTCTCACTTTACACAGAGTGGTGTTTCTGAGATGACAGGCTCTTACCAAGTCTTCTCAGAGTCTATTGCCCGAATTGTGGAATGAGCGTACTATATTGCAGGTTTTAAGGATAACAGACTTTTGTATGTTTATGTGAATGTTGGGGTTGAGACCGAGTTGCTCGAGATGTGTATTAAAGATGTGTGGGGTGATGCCTGTGGCTGAGATGATGAATGGTATGATTATAACTTTTTTCTGTTTCCAGAGTCTCTGAACTTCTAAGGCTAGTTCCGTATACTTTGATATCTTCTCATTATATTTGGTCTGAATATTGGGGTCATTTGGTATGGATATGTCTATAAGATTGGTTATCAGTTCTTTTTTCTCTTATTGTTATTATTATTGCTGTCATACTACACTGTCATTTTCCTTGACAGGGCTTCCATTTACCAAAAACAAACCATGTTTCTTAGGTTAAATGGGTTTTTAATTTTAGCCTATTGTCCTTCTGATTATGTGAGCTGTCTCAAGCAATGTAGTTTTTTGTATGGAGTCCATCAAAGCTTGTGTGCTATTGTTCCCTGGTATTCTTGCTAACCATTCTTTAAGGTTTCTATTGATTGTTCCCGTAACACCAACAACGACTGGAATTATTGTTGTTCTAAGACCCCACATTCTTTGGGTTTCTATCTGCAAATCTCTATACTTTAGTATCTTTTCCGCTATACTATTTGCAGATGTTATAATGAAGTGTTGAACATACTTTATTGTGTCCTTTTATGTATTCATATTTCGCAAGTACTGGACATCCTGTTGTTATGTGGGTGTATTCTATGCTCAATATAGTTTGTTGATATTGCTTGGTCTTGTGCTGCTACAATGATTGATTCTGTTTCCCCTTTTAGAGTTCCATTACGAAGCCATCTGAATGTCCTTTCTCTATCTACCTGTTCTGTGTTAGTTTCTGTACTGGCCATGCATCTGCTTTTCTGTCCATTTTCCTTTCGTATCTTTATTTATATTTTCTTTACATAGTTGCTTTAGCCTTTTCGCGTTTCCCGTTATTTCTCTGTTTATGCGCTTATCTTGGCTTCCGTTTCCTGAATATTGCTCTGTCCATTTTTTCCCTGTTTTAAAAGTGACTTTCCTGTTTTGTCTTTCTCGTATTGTTTTAACATATTGATGAATCTGTCTTCTACTTTCCCACTTAGATAACTTGGCAATGATGGTTAATTTGAACGTTTTCTCAATATTTACTAATCCCCTGCCTCCGTTGACTCTTGGGACATATAATCTATCAATATCTGCTTTTGGATGGTGTAGGTTGTACATTGTCAAAAGTTTTCGTGTTTTTGTATCGGTTTTCCTCAGTTCGTCTTCCTTCCAATTTAATATTCCAAAACTGTCATTACGGGCAGCGCAAGTGCTGCTATGCTGAGAAATTTATTTTTACCAGTTAGTTGACTTCTAAGGATCTTCCGCACTCTAGACTAATATTCCCCTGTCACTTTTTGTTTCATGCTTTGATGGTCGATTTCTGTGTTTTCGTGTATATACCTAAATACTTATAATACTGTTTTCCCTGTTAGTCTCTTTTTTTCAGTTTCCTCATCTATTTTCATATTTTGAGTTTTTTTTATGTTTCCTTTTTTTTATTATTATTATTATTATTATTAATAATTTATTTTGTTTTGTTGCAGATGAAAACTATCGTTGGAATTCTCCTTATTGCCACCGCGGCCTTGGCATTTCCATTGGGTGACGGCGGTGATGAACCGAAACCTCAAGAGCCTCTAGTGATTTCGGACTACTCTTCAGTCTCTAAATCCGAAGAAGCCAAACATGAACTCGTGAAATCCCTCCAACATGATTCGGCAGATAACTCAGGCTCCAGCTCGGAAGAATCCGCAGAGAGTGCCGAAAAAGCAACCGAGCCTGCTAAGGCGATCGAAGAAAAAGCCCCTCTGGCCCCCGCTTCCTTAAACCTTCCTCTAGCGGAAGCACAAAAGGAAGAGAAGAAAAACGATAAGCCAGAAGAACCTCAGCCACAATTAAAGGCCGAAGAAAAACGTGATGAACCCAAATTAGCAGACAAGACAGCTGAGGCGGCATTGCCAACACTCAAAAAAGTCGAAACTGATGCTGTAGTGCCTCAATTAAAATCTCTTCCAGCCGAACCGGAAAAGATTGCCGAAGAAATCCCAGCAAAAATTGAAGAGAAAATTACTGAAAAACTTGCTCCATCTGAAGAAAAACCCTTGGCCTTGCCTCAAGCAGAAAAAATCGAAGAGAAATCTACTGCAGCTTCCGAACTCAAAGAAGAAATAATTGCGAAACCAAGCGAACAAAAAGTCGAGCTTCCAGCCAGTGTTGAAGAGAAACTACCTGAACTGAAAACCGTAATCCCAGAAGAAAAAAAAGACAGCATCGTTGAGCTTATTCACGAAAAAAAAGCTAAATCGGACGAAAAACAACAAGAACCATTGCCTGCTTCCGAAGAACCAGCAACCCCCCAACAAACCGAACCGGCTACTTCAGAACAGCCAACTTCATCTGAGGCACCTCTAGTAGCTCTCCGTGCTGCCCCTGAGCCAGCCAAAGAAGACAAACCAATAGAAAAGGTCCCAGAAGGCAAATCAGCTGAACCAGAAGCTTTACCTCAACCTGCTGCAGTACCTGCAGCAGCCAAACCACTTGAAGACTCCAAACCTGAACAGAAACTGGAAGCGCAGCCTGAAAAACCAGCAGAGAGCGCACCAAGTTCCTGAATCAATCAATAATCTAGTGTGAAGAAAATGAATGACTGATTTTTTTTTTTTTTGTTGAGGTTTGCTTGCCCGCTTGTTCCAAACCTACACTTAATTAATTTTTATTTTTTTTGATTGAACATTTGGGCTGACCGAACCTCCCCGTTTTCAATTTCTTTAGAAACACTAATTAATATAGTTAATTCGAGAGTGCTCAACAATAATAATTAAGAGTAGGGATTTTGTTTTTTGTAAAAATCTTTTTTTCTTTGTTTTTTATTTTTATTATTATTTTTTAATTTTGATTTGTGAATAATTTGTGGCCAAAACTGCGTTAAAGTTGCATACATACGTGTCAAAGTATGAATTTTAATTCGCTTTTTCTTCTCTACTGTTTCGGTGGATTTTTGTTTGGCCATCCATAGGAATGAATTTAATTATTTTTTCTTAGGTTTAGTTTTTATTTTTTATTTTTAATGTATATTTAAAGCTTTTCAATAAAGTTTTATACATAAACACTTCACGTTTTATTTTTTTTTCTTCAAAGACAGGGTGTTTCTGAATAGTGGGATCAAAGTTCTAGAACAAATAGTACAAGTACCGGGTGATTGTCTATATTTTGCACCCACACCTATCTCACCTGTTTGAAGAGATTCCTAGAAATGTCAAATGTAAAAGTTGTAGGTATTATCAGAAACTTTGCAATGAAGTTAGTTGCAAGTATACAGGATGTGTCACAAAAGCGTGGCGAAGCAGTGTTATTCTTTTTCAAATGGAACACCCCATATATTATTGACCTATTGGATTAGCCTTTCAAACCTGATTCCAAATATACTAGGTCTTTTAGGTTTATTCCTCACAATCCAGCCTCTGATTATCACATTTTGAAGAAATAATGTGGATTTTTTACTTGAATGATTACTTTTATATTTTGCTGGTGGTCTCTATACTTCACCTTTTCCAATAAAATGCAATTATTCCACCCCTTTTTTTCTTATTTTCTCCTGGACTATTAGGATTAAACCTAAAAAACCTAGCACTTTTGGAATCAGGTTTGAAAGGTTAATCCAATGGGTCAATAATATACGAGGTGTTTCATTTAAAAAAGTTTAACTTTGCTTTGCCACACTTTTTTTGACACACCCTGTATACTTATAACCAACCTCATCGAAAACTTTGTAATATCACCTACAACTTTTACTTTTGACGTTTCTGGGTATCTCTTCAAACAGGCGATATAGGTGTGCGGGTGCAAAATATAGCAAATCACCCGGTATAAACATAGGTCTGCAAATGCTTGGTTTTCAAGATACATGGTGTCAAAGTTTGAAAAAAAACGTTTTTGAGTTCAAAAATCCAGTTTCAAAAAAAAAAACATGTCGCTATCTTTTTATAACGTTGATATATTTTTTTTAGATTTAGCAAATCAGAAAACAGTCAAAATATACCTTGGTATTATCACAAACAATGTGAATGACTACCTTATTATGGCTTCACCGTCTGAGGTATCTAGCCAAAACTAATTGTGGTTGAAGGAGATTTCCGGTTCGTCCCGCTTCCTCACCCGTCCAGTAATGAATTCTAATATACAGGGTGCTTCACGAAAATCGAAACAGAGGCGTTTTGGCGTCAGTTCTGCATTCAAGGGGGAAACTTTTTGACCCCATCAGTATTTCGCTATGGTGCATCCCTTGGATGGGGTGACTTTCACCCCTCTTTTTTAGATGGGGAAGATGAGTCGAGTGGTACGTACCTTGTTTTAAAGGTATTTTGAATCTCTTCACAACTCTCTCTCAGCTGCATAGACGGCTTTGTACAGGTCTTCGAAGGTGGTGTGTTCTACCAAGTACTCTTGGATTATTTTTGTATCATAGTAGTTGATTAGCACTTGCAGTTTTTTACTCGTATTCTGTTTTGGAATTTCTGGGCGCTTTAATGGGCCCAGGGGTGCGATTTTCGAAACCATTCGAGTACATTTCGTGCACGAAATTCGACTTACAGCAATGTAAATCAAATGGGGAGCAGTCAAATTTCGTGTACGAAATGTACTCGAATGGTTTCGAAAATCGCACCCCACAGATCTCCATAATCTGCCAGAACTTTGTAGAACGCTTCTTTTGCAGCTCTGTACATTTCATCCAGTGTATCTCCATCTGGCTGTGGATCTGGCTCCGGTTCTGGTAGAGCAATGTCATGCTCACCTTCATTCATTTCCTCCTGCGCATCTACCATTGGGTTATCAAATGTTGCGCGCGCGGTGGCCTCTGTTTTCAACACATCTAAAAGTTCTTTTGAAAGGCGTTTGTTATTTATATATATTGTGACGGCTTTGGATTGCCTCACAGAAATCTTGGGTTAGTTTCGTTTATTCCAAAAATCAAAGTCCAATTAACACAGCAATAATTTATTCTACGTAACAATACACTCTGACACTAATTACTTTGATAACTAACTCAACAATTAAACTCTACAACTCACAACAATAATCACTATTTAAATCGTATCACAGTCAAACTCAAACTTGAACTTACAAACCAATGCCGGCCTTTTTATATATCCTTAAATCTATTCATGTACAATCTAGAATACACGCGATAAGCAGTCTTCTAGAAAACCCCGCAAGAATCGCGCTAAATTGGTTTCTCGATTGGATTCTTGACATTCTGGCGGCGTAACACTGCCCTCCTCTTAAGGTTGATAGTCCCGATCAACGTCATGCCCATATGATATTTCGTTAATTCTTCTTCTTCTTTTAGCTTACTCCTGGTGCTCTGGACTCGATAAACCAAATCATAGATCCTCTTGATTATTCTGTAGGGTCCTTCCCGTGCTGAAGACAATTTCGGCGATACTCCTTTCTTTCTAGCTGGATTATACAGCCACACCAAATCGCCTTCTTGAAATCCAGCTGAATTGGCTTTCAGGTCGTATCTTGTCTTCATTCGGTCACTGGCCAGCTGAATATGCTCCCGATGAAAATCATGGATACCCAGAAGTCGTGCCCTTACGTCGGCATAATCTCGGATTTCTTTTCATTCTTCTTCAGGTATCCCAAACATCAGATCGCAAGGTAACCTGAGTTCTCTTCCAAAAACGATTCTGGCTGAACTTTCACCTGTTGACTCGTGAACAGTTGCTCTGTAAGCCATTAAAAATAGAGGCAAATGTCCCAATCTCGCTGGTTCCTTGCGACCAGTTTTGTCAGGTGTTCCTCTATGGTCTTATTGAATCGTTCCACCATGCCATCAGATTGTGGCTGTAAAGGTGTTGTCCTTGTCTTACGAATGCCCATTATCTCACAAATTTTCTTAAAGATGGCAGATTCGAAGTTTCGTCCCTGATCTGAATGCAACGCTAGTGGCACGCCATGACGACTGAAAACTTCGTCCACTAGCACCTGGGCAATCGTGATGGCTTCTTAAATGGGAATAGCGAAAACTTTTGGCCATTTACTGAAGTAATCCATGATAACCAAGATGTATTTGTAATTACGCTCTGACTCAGGGAACGGTCCGGCAACATCTATCGCTATTCGTTCAAATGGGAGACCGACGTTGCACTGTTTCATGGGCTCCCGAGATCCGAGATCTTATTTTATGGCCTTTACTGGTAGCACAGATGTCGCATTCTCAGCACCAGTTTTTAACGTCTTCATGATAGTGAACCCAGTAAAAACGTTCCCGAATTGTGTCCAAAGTGTTATTTACTCCAAAATATGTTCCTGAAGTTCCATCATGTATTTCTTTTAATACATCTGCTACTCGATCTTTTGGAATAACTAAATAGTTGGCTCTCCGTAGTTTTCCCATCGGCACTTGCCCAAACTCTTTTCAGTAAACCATTTTCTATGGCCAGAGAGTTCCACTGAGCCCACAACGCTTTGTAAATCAAACTCTTGTTCGACACTTTCCTCTATTCTGGCCTACATTCATCATTTTCTACAAGATTTAGAATTTGCCCGATGTCCTGGGCCGGTATTTTCGAGAACGAGAATACCGGCCCTGGTCTGCCTCTTGATCTTCTCTCATTTGTTTGGTAGCGTGAGACCCGTCCTTCTCACAGCTGGACCAGTGTTTTTCTCATGGCATATCGATTCTTTGACAATGCTTGCAATCTTCTTTACATGGCCGTCTAGAATTTTTATGCAGGTTTCCAGGTCGATGTTTAATTTGGAAATCGTATTGCTACAATTTCTCGATCCATCTAGCAAGCTGTCCTTTGGGAGTTTTCATTTCTAAACGCCATTTTAGAGCTGCGTGATCCGTTCGAATTAGAAACTTACGTCTATAGAGATACTTATGGAAATGGTCGACTGCTTTTACAATGACTTCTGGTGACACAATAATTTCGTTCTGCTGTAGTACTCTACGACATGCTCTTGTAAATTTTGAATTTGTGAAAGTACCGCCGCTCTAATACTGGTGTGGCTTGCATCTGGGCTTGTACATAATGCTCCTTTTAATTTTCTAAATGCGGAATCGCATTCTCGGGTCCAATTGAATGTTTGCAGTTAGATTGTTCTTCCGTTAATCGATGAAGCGGAGTAGTTATATTGGCGAATCCTTCCACAAATATTCGATCATAAGAACATAATCCCAGAAAACTCCATGAACTGAGGAGTTCATGGAGTGGTTTTGGCCAATCCCTGACAGTATATATCTTTCCTTTCATAACTTGTATACCATCTTTAGATAACACGTGACCTAAGATTTCCACTTTCTTTTGAAATAGAAAATACTTATTTGGATTGAGTTTTAAGTTGGCATTCCGGAAGCGGTCGAAAACTTCTTTCAGGTTATTGAGATGTTCTTGGAACGAATTTCCCATGATCATGACATCATCTAAATATACCAAACAAGTTCTTCATGTGAGGCCTCGCAAAACTAGATGCATCAGTCGCTCAAACAGCGGGAGTATTACACAATCCGAAAGGCATTGCGTTAAACAAGTATAACCCGCTTCCGGTACTGAAGGCAGTTTTCTCTTTGTCATCTTTGTGTATTGCCACTTGCCAGTATCCGCTCTTAGGATCCAAGGTGGAAAACCATTTGAAGCCCGATAGTACAAGCCTGTCTGGATCGAGGTATTTCCATAATTTCTCCAAAGTCTGCATCAAGGTGTCTGTATCCAATTTCGGTTTTACAAAATGTGGCTTATCTGATAGGTCACAGTTCGATATTTGCTTGACTGGTTCGTAAGTTCCAATAATATCTCCTTCCTTTATTTTTACTGTTTCAGAAGAAACATTGGCATTCTTATTGTCGCGGCTTTGGATCGCCGGACAGAAATCTTGGGTTCGTTGTTCGTTTCGTTTATTCCAAAAATCAAAGTCCAATTAACACAGCAATAATTTATTCCACTTAACAATGCACTGTGACACTCATTACTTTAATGACTAACTCAACAATTAAACTCTTTACAATCACTATTTAAATCGTATCACAGTCGAACTGAAACTAACTTACAAATCAATGCCGGCCTTCTTATATATCCCTAATTCTATTCCTGTAAAATCTAGAATACACACGATAATCTAATTTTCCAGATAAAAGTAGAATAATTCG